CCCCACAAACACTGGCAGTGTTGAAAACAGAACCCTGGGGGGACCCACCCCCCCCCCCCCCCCCCCCCCCCCCCACCACTCCCACCACCACCACCAAAACCAGAATTAGCTTGCAATATCTATGCAAGAAGTTGTACAACTTTTTGGTCTATGGCGGTAGTCTATTAGGCTTGAAGGGATGGGGCATTTGTAAATGTGGTATTTTTTTTATAAAAAAAGTTTCATTGAATATCATTGAGTAATTGATAATCACTCAGTGTGATCTGCCGTGTAATAAATCCCCCTCTCTCACATCAGACCACCAGAGATAACACTAGGCTTTGTTTGTCGCTAGTCATCCAGGACACTGATAGCAAGGAATTAGAAAGACTAAGATCAAAAAGACATCTAATTCCTTGCTGATAATCGGAAAGATAACAAGACTTTGCCCCATCACCAACTAAATATCAGTGTGTAATGCGTGATGTGATGAGGTGAGATCACAGTTAAGTATGCGCTAGCACAATCGCTCCCCCCCTCTCTCTCTCTCTCTCTTTCTCTCTCTCTCTCTCTCTCTCTCTCACACACACACACACACACACACACACACACACACACACACACGCACGTCCGGAAACGCTGAAAAACGAAAAAAAAAATATAGAGGGTGGATTATTCGTACATTTATGTATACTTATACTTTCCCCTCAATACTTTTTAATTCATTCAAAGAGTTCACTCAAACGTGTTTTCTAGTTTTGCTTTTATTTTCTTCATCGCTATTCATTAAAGCTTGAGTCTCGAATTTAGATACAAAAAAAGCTTGTTCCTGAGTTATAGCTGTATTCTTTCATTAAAACTTAAAAATTATAATTGTCACCACAAGCGCCGTCACTCTCTTTCTCTTAAAGAAAAAACTACCTTTATTTTTCAGCAATTTTCCAATAAGCAGGGTCTTCTCAGCTTGCCCCCCCCCCCCCCCCCCCCGCCCCCATTTACCAGTAAAAGGGGACATAAGGAACTTAGTTAAAATTTTTAAGTATGTCACATCTGGTCTTTGTATAAGAGGTATTTCCAAGTCTTAAATGTTTTTGAGTCATAATTAAAATTCTTTCACGAGACATTGTCCAGTGATAACAAGTTTAGCAATCTCATTGATATTACAATAACATTACATTCAGCTCAGAATGCCAGGAGTCAGTTAAACTCCCTATATACCACTAAGTGAAATCAAGGACACGAGGGTTGGTGGGAAGGGGGGGCTGATAGAATCCGTTCACGTCTCTCGTTTGGCATGTCTGCATTAAGATGTGTGTAGTGGTAGACCTTAGCATACTCTCTGACCACAGGGCACGGTAGTAGTCTGTTAATAAATTGTTGAATCGCTCATACTTTAATTTTGTATACTATTGTAGAAGCCCCTGGTGTCACAGGGAAGGACACAGCTGAGGAGGAAGAAAAAGAAAATAAACTGTCTCTCGTGTCTGTATGATCTTAAGGCGAGTGAAAATGGACAAATAATTCGCTGAATTGACATAAAGGTCACATACGCGCGCGCGCGCAGCATTTTCTTTTCCTCAGCTCGGTAATTAAGGGGTGACTCTCGCTCGCGCCACCAACATTAGTCGAATATTGAACCGAGCGAAAAATTTCTTCGTCATCCTCTTAACACATTATCAACTATAAATATTATAATGAGGATAATCGCTCCAATTAAGCTAATTTCATGCACGTGCGAGTTTTTTTCCCCATTGACTGTTTCATGAAAAACCCCACACCTAATAATCCCATGAATTAACTATAAATGCGCGGTTCTCGGCACCTCTGACCTTATCAAAGGTAAGCTTTGATAAAACAAATAAAAGAAAGATAGCCTTCTAAAGAGTGATAAAACTCTTTAATATTATCGTTGTTTGTGTTCTTTGTTGATGAGGTGGGGGTGGTGTGTATAGAAACGCGTGCATGTGCGCACGTACACGTGGATGCATGTGCCTGAGTGAAAGGTATCGGGATTCCTGCACTGTATAGTGCTTGTCCATGAAACTTGAGAACTGCAGTGGAGGCCATTTTACAACTTACAACAAAAGGAGGTTAATAGTTTATCAGATAGCCTATGAAGTATTATGGACATTTTTAACCGCAAAACGTTTTACATTTCGCCGGTCATCTCAACTTACGCGTCAGTTCTACGAAAGTGGGTTGTCATCATTTTTACTTGTTATGCAAATCTTTCCGTTTTACAGAAAATATCCTCGTTCGTCCAAATGAGCGTGCTACGCCCAAATATTTCAGGCTGACAAAGCCCGCCGCCAAGCTATGATGAGCGTATTAACTGTCGTCTGCTTCCGTCAGCTCCGCCTGTGGAAGATGAAAGCGATGTCGGATTGAAACACGTTGGTCATTTACAAGATCGTCTGCGATATGAAAGAACCTGCCCTTCGCCCCTTCCAAAATCTTCCAAGAAATCGCCGCCAAAAGACCGGGAGAGGAGCAGAAATAAGGACTCAGAATTTCCAGAGACAATTGGTGATCTTGTAGACTCACCTGACAACTTTACTTTAAAACGAAAACGTAGTCTTTTTAAGCGTTTTATTTCCCGACCGTTAAGACTGGCTCAGGTAGTCGGGATGAGCGGCTGGGTGGTTGTCATTATCGTGATTGTCTTAATCAATCTTCTTTGATAAGCTTACTTTACTGATGAATGATCGACTGGCATTTAAGGTGGCAAGTGTAGGATTTTCCCCCGAAAAACTACTTAAAGCGTTCCCCTCAGGTCAGGCAGGGGTAAAAGGTACATACGGTGAATTATTTGTGCGAAGTACGCCCTGGCGTGCATTTTTGGTCGCATTTTTGATACATTTTCTTCAATGCCTTCTTATTGATTCAAGTCCTTCATCTAAAAAATGAAAAAATAAAAAACGTTTTCTAGGTATTTTTCTATTTTTTTTTCATTGCGCTCAGGTTTCATTACGCCCCACCCCTCTTGTGTGGTCTCGAGATGTAGAAAATAACTACCATGATTTCAATAGATTCTTTCATTAAAAACGTACAGAAAGATGGACAATGAACAAACATTAAATATGTTTATTAACAGATGTAAAAACAAATAAATAAATGATATGCATATGATTGACAAGATAACAAGTGCACCATTTCTTGCTTTAAACAATAAAATGTCGCATAACATTTTGGCTTAAGAAAACTCGTTGATCAATAAAGTTTGAATAAACCTCGATCTTCGTGAAATGGTTCCATCAGCTGTTCCCTCGCACAATAATGGCACTCAATATAAATAACCAAAAAACTTTTTAAATAAAGATAAATAGAATAAGAAAAAATTCCGAATATATATTCGACTATGATAACTACGTAACTCCTCTTACAAATGAAAAATTAAATAGTAATAGATATATTTGTTCTGAAATATAACTGATAAAGTCTTTTTTGATATAATTTCTGAAGGTCCGAAATCGCCGTCCATATAGTCATACCAAGAATACCAACAACAGAGCACCTATCAGAAGAACGCCAAAAACAACGCCACACACTTTGAAAATATACTTTGGGCGTAGTCTTTTCAGAAGTCCCTTTCTCTTCGGCGGGCGACCTGTGCTCGGCGTGTCAAGCAAAACGGGGGATTCTTCTGAGAGAAGTTGGTTTTCCGAGGACGTGGAAGCCGTAAAGTCTCGACTGCGGGCTCTCAAAAATCTAACTCGTCTGTGCTTCTTTCCAGGGATGTGGTTCGCAGACGACAATGGCTCCAAACATCTTTCAGCAGACGACACTGATGTGCAGCCTTCGTCCTCTGTAAAACATGGCGCTGTCGGCTGCTGGCGGGGGAGATGACTCATCTGCCGATAAAGATCTTGTTCGATATTTTCTTCCTCACTTCCAGGAACATTTTTCTTTGAGATTCTCAACAGAGCGCAGGCCTGTTGGTAGGTGGGAAGGCTATTTTGTCTCCCAGTCGGTCTGCCTCTTCTGGTGGACATATTGCTGGAGCCCGATATACCCTGAATAATCAACAAAATATTGCCACATCAATTCTGCAAAACTTTTAATGTTATTGTATATCTTGAACTATTGCGAAATCTGTTTACTCCCACTGCATACCTACTCCCATATATATAGCACACTCAAGGGGCGTAATAGAAAAAAACCCTCACTATTTTTATTTATTTCCATACAAAAAAGTAATGCATAGCACAGAAAAAAGTAGGCCCTATGGCATCGAATTGTGTACTTCTAAAAAAAAGCTTTATTTTCGTTATTAAAACGACACGTGGTTGATAGGTTTTTCAGCACTTTTGGTCTATTAATAGATTTGTATCGAGGGTGTGGTCTTTGCTGCAGTGATAAACTAATGTACGATCTGCCGGTACACTAAAAACGTGACACCTTTCTATACAGTAGCTAACGCTGAACATTCAAGATGCAAGCAAACTGACAGAGAGAGAGAGAGAGAGAGAGAGAGAGAGAGACAGAGCGGAGAAAGAGAGAGAGAGAGAGTAGCCTATATTTAGTATTTACCTGTTGTAGCGCTATTGTTGGAAGAACATATCTTGCACCAAAACTTGGCATGGACTTCTACAGTAGGTCACTTAATATCGTGTTCTGTGACCGGTAAAATATCTTATTCTATGAACTGCTTGTGCCGGAGTAGTTAGAAGTACTCTCTGTGATGTTTCAACCACCCCGCTTGGTTTCTGTTTTGCTATTAAGCATGCGTTGTGCAACATAAATACGGTTCAACTTAAGGCATTCCCCATCGTCTAAAAATAGCCTTCTGATGACGTCGATGCGGTTTTGAAATCTCCATCACGATACCTGTCGTTCAGGTAAACATACTGAGAGTGCTATGAATGCGCATGCGCCCTGGTACTCGCTTGGGCCTGTCCCGATCTTTGCTATCTTTAAAGCCTCTTTCGTTATTTATTGGATTTAACACCACCGCATATCCATGAAATTGTATGAGACTTGGACGTAATTAAATTGAATTTTTTTGGCTTACAGAAGAGAAAAAGTACAAAGTTTGCCAGAGATTTATATTTGAATATTTGGTGAAAACTCAGTGTGCAGCCCTGGTAAGGGGTAGGTTTTTTCTCCATTTTTGAGCGTGATACCGTGATACGTACCACTCTGGGTGACATAATAGAGAGACCGCAAAGATCAAACAGGATGTGGACTAATCAGTTCATGATAGAGATCATGACATAACACCAATCAATATAAACGTAATTGGTCGATTTCAAATAATTCTTGAAATGCACCTTTAATTAAAAAGTGAGGCGGTAGAAAAAATCATGTGAGAAACTTTTCCTTTCTACATATCCTTTTCCAATAAATAAATAAATGAATGAATAAATAAACTAATTAATTAATAATAAATACATATAGAAAGGAGATAAAGTTAAAAAATATATCTAAAAAAACACATTGGAAAGTGAAGATAACTGATGAGGCGTACACAGTTTTTTATAGAATGAAATAAATAAATAATGTTTAGCTCAGAAACCTGTTTTTTTTTCCTTGCAGCAAGCCTTCATCTGACTAACGCTGGAAGCAGGAAAACAATCGACGGAAGAAGTAGCTCTAGTTGTAGAACAAGGAAAGGAGGGTGTTATCTGTGAGGGTCTCTTGAGTAGATATGAAAGTCTATAGGCCTACTTGAATACAAATTTACACGTCTAATAACAGAGATATGCCCACATACAAGATATACACCCCTGTAATACTAATACCATTCGTTCTCGGATCGAAGAGTGAGGTGGGGTGGTAGGGGAGGGTGGAGGGTGTACAAATAACAATAAAGAAACGTAAGTAATAATACAGTGTANTATGACGTCATATATGGACACAGTAGAGAAAAGTGTATAGAGTGAGCCTGGATATGTTAATATCTAGTGAAACTCAGTCTGCAGGTCCTGGTAAAGGATAGTTAGGAGTTAACAGCAGTATAAAAAATACTTCTCGATCAACGTTCCACGACTCTGATAGATAATACCTAGAATGGACAACTCTGATAAAACATTAATAGCCTACATAAGAAAGAAAAAAGACTAAAAGCTTGACCCCCCCCCCTTCTTTCTCTTTTAGATATTGGGAAGTTCATGAAAGAACACTAAAGAGTTTTATCTTTGTACGCACGGAACAGTGCAAAAATAAAAGTACTTCCTGGCAGATATTGACCGTATATTCAACGTGTTTATCATTGATTTATTATAAGTTATAATCTCCAACAACCAATACAAACAAAATGTGTGTACAGTAAACGAGGAAGATGACCATTGATGCCCCAGCTTCTTTCCCTCTTCCAATACCACTCTGAATTTCAGAGATTGTTGCCTAGGGTTGCGATCACAATGAAACTGTCCTACTAAGTAATTCGAACGCGGGGGACCGTCGACTGTCTCTCTCTCTCTCTCTCTCTCTCTCTCTCTCTCTCTCTCGTTTTCAACGTATTCGATTAATTTAGTTAAAACCATCAGCTTTTCTGTATTTTACCCTGATTTTCTGATTGCAGTCAGTTGGAGTCCACGCAGTGTGAGTTCGAACTATCTGGCGGGATAATATCATAGTGAACGCACCCCTATACGCTAACCAGTGCTTAAATTCTCTCGTCTGAGACGAGGTCTAGTACACTGAACAAAAGAAAATCGTCGCGATCAGGATATATTCTGAAATTCTTGATGTAGGCTAGGGGAAAAGCCATATCCTCAAACATTTGTTATTTCGTTTGGTCAACATTTCCCCCAAAATTGACATATGGTTCGCATGTTATCTTACGATTCCTTTTCGTACAAACTTGTCACCGTAGGCCTTATAACCGTTTCAGATGATTTATAACAAATGTTTTGTCACAATACCCTTTGGCATATGGCAAAACCATTTAGAGTTTTGTCTCGAGTGTAGGCTTATGTTGGATAATCATTTCATAAATCTAACGTGTGAGTGAAATAACGAGGGCAGGGGGTAGGGGCTGGAAGGGGCTTCCAGCCTGTGCTTGGGGACTGTTTACTGACCTATCACACTGAAATGAAAACGATATTAGCAAAAAATCTGTAGATATAGGGGAGACCGGGGCTAGTTGGACCCCGGGGTTAGTTGTCCCCCATCAATTTATGACAATTAAAGTAGGCCTATAGGCCTAACTATGGGGTAAAATAATTGATCACATCATTTTGTAAAGTGATCGTATCCAATAGTGCTAAGAAAACGTCGGCAGTGGGTCCAAATGAAATAATTTAGCATCTTAAAGTAACTTCATTAAAGTTCCTTGATGTAGGTGCAACTTACCCCGGGGTACAACTAGCCCCGGTCTCCCCTAGCTAGAAACTTCTTCTTTGTTGGATAAGACGATCGTCACATTTTCTCTCCAAAAGCTGTATAAAGTAACGTTTATCATATATAGCAATTCAACTAAATCGTTATGAAAAAACGTTTTTTCTTTCATTATTTTTAATTTATTTATTTATTTATTTATTTATTTATTTATTTGTTTGTTTATTTGTGAGCTACATGTAGGCCTATATCGCGGTGAGGTTTACCTATTGCGTGGTTTTTAAATTAGTCATCCCATCAAGGTGCTAACCGAGTTTGGATGCAGTGTTAAATCAAAGATTAAACATTCTTTTCAGCGAAAGTACGAAGAAAACAGTCAATTGAAATTTCCATCACGTCCCCGCTCAATTTTGAAGCCCAATGTGGTCTTATTTTATCTCAATAGAGGGCGCATTATCTCATGGACGTCTTTTTCTACCTCCAAACGTTGAAGAAGTGACTTGACTCGACATCGAAATGGGACAGTAGTCGAAGACAATACAAATATCTGAGAAATCTCTGTTCTGAAGTTTCCAAAGTGCCTAGAAGGTGAGAACTTCGTGGTATTCTTAATTTATATGAAAATATGATCAATTGTAATCATGTTAGATATTGGTCATTTGTGTCTGAACAAAGGAAAAGTCGAGATAAATCTAAGATTTTAAACAAAAAAGTTCAAGTTGTACGTGATGTCCGGCCGGATGTCGTTGTTGGAACTGTGTGACGAAATAATAGGTTTAAAACACGGTGCAAGTTTGGTTTTAAAGAACACCAACAAAAGGAATTCAAATTGTAGCTAAATAGAATTTTACCAGTTGTTGATATGGAAGTGTAGACGAAGAGATACATGCTGACATTTGAATCGATTCACTTGTTGATATACGTGGGGTAAACTCATTGACTGTAGCCGTTATGCTTCTTTTTAAAAAAAATGCCTAACTGTAAAGTTTAATAAACTCAATATGGAACCAGAGAGGGTAATTTTGGAGACTGAATAGACAAATCTCCCTCTCTTGCATCCCTGAATCTGCTACAAGTGTAGTGTTAAAAATTAAAAAAGTAAATAGTCATTGGTAGTTAGGTAAATGTTGTTGGTCAGTGTGGAAAATGTGGCCTGCAAAATGTGATTTACTTTTTTTAATGTTTAAATGTTTCTATGTTTATATTTTAAATGTGTTTTGGTTGTCATCTTACAACCCACAGCATGTAGTACAAATGTTTGTTTTGGGATGCTTTTACCGAGTCACGTTTATTTGAAACCTTGCTGATGAATTTAAAAATCATGTAAAACCCAAAGTTTATGACTGGTTTCCCATGCCTAGATCGATCCATCTGTATCGATCTATCTCCATGGGGAGTCTCACTAAATTGCTATCAACTTAACTGTCTTAAATGTCTGTCACGCCTCCTGAATCAGCTAGGGTAAAGATTATTATCCCCTAACAGCTTTACTAGGCGTGACAGACATTTAAGCTGGTCAAGTTAATAGCAGTTTAGTGAGACACCCCATGGAGATAGATCGATCCGAATTTCTGTAGGAATGGTCCATATGATATTGGTTGCACAGGTAGACTATAGATTGCAAGCGGAAAATAGTATTTTCAAACTCATTTTCTAGTAAAAAAAAAAACCCAGCAGGATAGCCCATTGAATTGATTATAGGAGGGTAGTTTTTTGTCATTTATTGATCAATGGAACTGAAACCTATGCAAAAAGTGTGGTTAAAGCACACACCATTTGATACTTATTGAATTTTTATACTGTAAGCTGTAAGTCCTCCGTGGCTGCTGTCTCTCCAAATACAACAGACATTCACACATTTTTGATTATCGATTCCTCTCGAGTTTTCAGGTGGGATTCTATTTTTGATATCTTGGCAAACAAAAGATTCCTGCATTTCGAGAATCATTTTATTGGCAACCTACACAAGTGTTTCCATCCTTGTGAAATTGGCCCATTGAGTCTTGGCCAGTTCACCAGTAGTGGATAAATTAATAAGTCCCAAGCCAGTGATAATGATTCGCTATCATCAGTCTATTCCCATGCCTTGTTACTTGTATTGAATTTTTACTCACTTCAATTGGCATGTTATATACACAGTGTTCCAAGAAAACAAAGGCCGGTGTAATTCATTGGAATGACTAGACAGAGGAGGAAAAAACATGTCTAGGGAAGATCCATTTCTCAGTATTAATACATAAGTGCACTCAGTGACAGTCTTTTTAAGAATACCTCTCTCTCTCTCTCTCTCTCTCTCTCTCTCTCTCTCTCT